AAAAAATTAGCTGGGGCGTGGTAGCGTATGGCAGTGTAGTTCCAGCTACTTGGAAGACTGAGGGGAAAGATCACTGGAGCCCAGCAGGTAGAGGTGGTGGTGGCCAGGAGCGGCCACTGCACTCCAGTCTGGGCGATAGAGTGAGACTCCAACTCAAAAAAAAAAAAAAAAATTTTTTTTTGTTAAATTAAATTAAAGATTAGAACAAAAGATGCCAAAATATTAATAATAATTGTCTCTGGATAGTTAAATAGTGGGTAATTATAGTTTTTACATTTTCTAATAAGTAAACACAATCTTTGTAATCAGAAGAAACCCAAGTATGTGTGATAAAAAATAATTTCTGAAATGTCAAAGAACATTTCATCTCCCCAAAATATTCATTTCCCATATAGCCTCTTTTCATTGTTGTGTCTGTTTCTTATATCTCTTGAATAAACAATGAGCCTGTGTGTTGCTCACAGCACCCTACACCTTGGTGATTGTTGTTCTGTGTTTGTCCCTCCCATGTCAGCACCCCTTTGGCATTGTTCTGTCCTGAGGTTTTGGAAGGGTGAAGGCAGAGATGTGGCAGGAGATAGTATCATCATGAAGAGACGCAACCCAGTGGGCTCCAGTTTCCTTGCTTGACATGTTGCCTGAGTATTTGTCAGGCAGAGACTCTTCTTAGGAAAGTTTTCCATTCTCAGTGCTCTCAGGGACTGAAATCCATTCAGTCTTGTTCTTTGTCTTGGTCTATTAGGGAAAGTTTCCCAGCTTGGACAACAAGCCATGGGACTGGAGGAAGGCAGTTTTTTTTCTGATCTGTTTTCATTATTTTGGAAGTTAATGGCCTTGGTTAGCAGTACCAGTGGCCCTGTAAATGATACTTCAGGTTGTAAATGTTCACTCCAGCATAGCCAAGGCATTGTTTCCCTCTTCATCCTGTTCACATCCTCATGCTGCTCCTTCCCAGGCAGAAGTGACCTCTCAGTATTTCTTGGACAGCCACTGTCAGCACCTGTTGTACCTAAAAGTGCTGCACTATTACCTCTTTGTCGCGAGAAGAATCCAGTGTCATTCATGTCTGTATCCCAGCTCATTGTATGATGTTAGGCCAAGAGTACCTGCTCAGCAAATATTTACTGAGTGCCTTGACTTTTACCTAATTACTCTGCATAAGACCAGATAGTCAACATTTCATATATATTCTATATCTGTTTTTGCCCATGTTATGTGTGCTCTTACAGGCATCTTATTATAGAAAACTTTATTCCTCTGGAAGAAAAAAGTAAAATTATGAATAGATCCTTCTTTGATGAAGAGGAAGACCATTGGAAATTGCATCCTATAACCAGATTGGAGTAAGTCACTACTGATTTGAGAGGATCTGGTGGGGAGGAGGGAAGGAAGGTTGATAGCTGGGCTTGGCCAGAGGGGTGTGGTGAAAACACAGCTTGAGTCATTTAAACTCAGAACCATCTGCATTTCTGCCTTGGTAGCTGCCATAGATCACCAGGTATGAGTTTGGTGATGTGTTGTTAAGAATTGGGAGATGTTGTCACCAGGGGACTAACACCCTTTCCAAAGTTCCTGTGTTTCCATTTCCCCAGCTGTGAGGTACAGTATGCTAGGCCAAAGAGGGACAAGGGAGAGGTGTCAATCATATCTCAGTCTGACCCACAGCATTGAGAAGTGTTCTCAGTCTGAGTCTGGGTCCTGCTGGAAGGATGGGAGACATCTGCCAAGGATGCAGGAGTGCAGAGTGCTGACAGCTATGCTTTGTGTCTGTGGTCTAAGAGCTGGATCATGATTAAGATCCTTTCTGGCTTAAAAGATGCATGATGCTCACATCTGAAGCAGAAAATATAGGCAACTCTTGTCCCACTTCTGTCCGCCCTCAGTCCAGGGAATTATGTGCTTCAGGTTCTGTTCTGACTCAGAATCTTCTGTGTGTTTGATTGATCCTGAGGCTATAGAGCACACTCCAGCAGGGCATTAACACTGCAGTCCATTTCCAGGAATCAGCAGATGATGAAACGGCCAGTCTCAGCTGTGGGATATAAGAGACCATTGAGCCAACATGCAAGGATGTCCATGATGATCCGTCCAGAGGCCAGATACAGGGTGAGAAGATTGTTCTTCGGTTTGTTTCCTCTGTCTTTTGGAAGAGTTTAGATTTGTGTAAGCTCTTAGGTACTGTTCTGCTCAGAGTTTGTACGATGACTTTTTTCAGAGTTATTTGTAACAATAACATTTAAAGATATTTATAACAATAACAATTATAAAAAAGAATAAGTATAATGACAAGTAAAAAATAATAACTCATACCAATGAAAGGTAAGATAGAATGAAGTTTAGAAAGCCAGGACTTGGGAAGTGGCCAGTAAACATGAAGATTGAGCTTCAACATGGCTCTGTAGGAAGAGAGAATGCAGGTGTCTTGTGACTGAAGACAGCCCTGGACTAAAGAACTTCTATCGCTTTCGTCTTACATAATGTGTGTCAGTTGTGTCACCACTTAAAAGTCATATAATTGAGTCTGAAATCTCTTACAATAAAAATGTTATGAGCGCTTCTAAGTACGTGCTGTGTGCTAGGCACTGTACTTGGCATTTGATTGCTTTCTCTAATTGAACTCTCCCAGCTGCTCCATGTAATCAGCCATGTTACTGGTGAGTAGGTAAACTGGGAGACACAACGTATTGGTAAGTTATAAAACAGTCTGTATTGGAAGTATAGATAACGAATAAAAAAATCTGAAACTGATTATCTCTGGTTGGTGGAAGTGCACTCAATTTAAATACTCTTCTTTTTGCTTATCTGTATTTTATGACTATCACTAGGGAAACTGGGTGATGATGATGATGATGATGATGATGAGTCTGAGTTGGAGTCTCACTCTGTTGCTCAGACTGGAGTGCTGTGGCACATTCACGGCCACCCCAGCATTGACCTTGCTGGGCTCCCGTCGATTCTCCCAAGTAGCCGGAACTATAGGCACACACTACCATGCCCAGCTAATTTTTGATTTTTTTTTTTTTTTTTGTAGAGATAAGGTCTCACCAAGTTGCCCAGGTGGTCTCGAACCTGCAGGCTCATGCAGTCCTCTCACCTTGGCCTCCCAAAGACCTGGGATTACAGACTGAGCCACTGAGTCCAGCCTATGTAGTTTTTTTTTATAATGAAAATGTTTCACTTAAAGTCTTTTTTTTTTTTTTTTGAGTTGGGATCTCACTCTGTTGCTCATGCTGGAGTGTGGTGGCACGATCACGATGATCACGGCTCAGCCTTGACCTCCTGGACTCGGGTGATCCTCCCACCTCAACATCCCAAATAGCTGGGACTATGGGCGTGCACCGTCACCCCCAACTAATTTATTCATCCATTCGTTTATTTATTTTTCTCTAGAGAAAAGATTTCACTATGTTACCCAGGTTGGTCTTGAACTCCTGGGCTCAAACAATCTGCCCACCTTGGCTTCCCAAATTGCTAAGATTGCAGGCATGAGCCACTATGCCTGGCCTCACTTAAAATCTTTTACTTTTTCTTTTTCTTTCTTTTTTTTTTTTTTTAAGTAAGAGTCTCACTCTATCACCCACAGCTATCTCAGCCTCCATGTGCTGGACTTAGGTGATCCTGCTTCCTCAGCCTTCCAGGTAGCTGAAACTATAGTCACATACTATTATGCCTGACTAATTTTTTTATTTATTGTAGAGAGAAGGTATTACCAAGTTGCCTAGGCTGGTCTCAAGCCCCTGGACTCAGGCAGTCCTCTTGCCTCCACCTCCCAAAGTGCTGGCATGAGCCACCATGCCTGGCCTCACCTAAAATCTTTAAAATTTTTTGAGTCTCCCCTGGCAGCCAGAGCCAAACAGAAAATTAGGATTAGTTAGCTCATCAGGTGCTCTTCTTCCTAGCCCTAGTTATTTAAAATAAAGAAAGCTAAAGCTAAAACAATTTATTAGGTTAAGTTTTATTTTATTTATTTATTTACTATTTTATTTTGAGATAGCAGGATTTATTGAGAGGACAGAAAAGCTCCCACAGTGGGAGGGGGCCTGAAGGGGTTGTCCCATGAAGTTTTAAATAGTGGAAGGTGAGTATGTGTCAGACAGAATCCTCAGAAGCATTTTTCTAGCAGTTACTAATGGTGTGTATCTTGCCAGTTATTTCATATCTTAAGCCCAAAATGACATTTTATTTATTTACTTATTTTTATTTATTTATTTATTTATTTATTTATTATTTATTTATTTATTTATTTATTTTTGAGTTGGAGTCTCACTCTGTCCCCCAGACTGGAGGGCAGTGGCTGCTCCCGGCCACCGCAGCCTCGACCTGCAGGGCTCCGGCGATCCTTCCACCTCAGCCTTCCAAGTAGCAGAACTACAGGCGCATGCTACAATGCACGGCTAATTTTTTATTTATTGTAGAGATGAGGTCTTGCCAAGTTTCCCGGGTGGGTCTCGAACCCACGGGCTCAGGCAATCCACTCGCCTCAGCCTCCCAAAGTGCTGGGATTACAGGCTGAGCCGCCAAGCTTGGCCCAAAAATGACATTTTGAAGCCCACAAATCAAATATGTGAGTTTCTAGGGGGCTAACCTGATCCAAACGTAGAATTTAAAGCAGTAACTCTCAAATGCTTTTAGCAGTGGACTTACTCCTCCTGGAGCAATTTTATGCACCATCTCAGTACCTAAAAATGACCGTTGAAGCCATTCCTTCTCCCTGCAGTGACCTCCTGCCCCCCCGGAGTCCTGGTGCTGGAATCCACGGACTGGGAGGAGTTGGAAGAGAAGGTGGCATGTGTAATTGTGGATGCTGTCTCTACATACTTGTAGAGCTAGGAAAGGCTCACCACAGGACAGCAAGTGAGGAAGTCAACAAAGGCCAGTTATTAGGCAAGGCCTGATGGGGTTTTTAAAAATGCAGATACCAATACCTTCGCTGCCATGCACAACATCATATGGCTTCCTATCCTCTGCAGCTGAAAAAGGCATCAGAGTTGCTGCGTGTGGTGAGATGATTGGTAATCATCATCTTTTTCTTTATACTTCTTTATATTTTCGAATTGCCTGTAATAAATGAATTTAATTAGAAATTTTCCCCAGTTATTTTCCTTCAGTTATAAAACATATTCATTGTTTAAAAAAAATAAAGATAGCCAGGCGTGGTAGTGCGCGCCTGTAGTTCCAGCTACTTGGAAGGCTGAGGCGGAAGGATCGCCGGAGCCCAGCAGGTCGAGGCTGCGGTGGCCAGGAGCGGCCACTGCACTCCATTCTGGGCGACAGAGTGAGACTCCAACTCCAACTCAAAAAAAAAAAAACAAAAAAAAAAAGAAAGAAAGAAAAGAAAAGAAAAGGAGAATACAGAAAGGCATAGAGAAGAAAGTAAAAATCATCTGTAATCCCAACAGGAAAAAAAATCGTAAAATGACATCACTTCCTCTAGGTAGACTCTCTCTTGTAGGCCCTGAGTAGCAGGCGATTTGCAGTTCTCTTCTTGGAGGGGCCTAGATTGCTTATGTTCTCTGTGTCTAATTGGAGGCCAACCTCTCTGGTGATGGCTATGCTTCTTCAGGCAGAAAACATTGTGCTATTAGAGCTGGACATGCCCAGCCGGACCACCAGGGACTACGAGGGCCCAACCATTGCCCCCAAGGTCCAGGCTGCATTGGATGCGGCTCTGCAGGATGAAGATGAGATACAGGTGGATGCATCAACTTTTGAAAGCACTGCAAATAAGAAGTCCAAGGCCAGGTGAGTGGTCTCGTGTTTGAGCAAGGACAAACCAAGGTCGAGGGTGACAAGAGTACTTGTTTATCATGGAACACTTTATAGAATACACTGAAAAATGTTGCCATATTACTCCTATGTTTACTTATTATTTTGCAAATATTTGTGGTTGAGACACTATGCCAGGTATACTGAATACCACAATGCCAAATGCACCCAATCCCTACCTATTAGGAGCATGTGTTCTAGTGCAGTAGGGATTATTTCTTCAGTGCCCAGCAGGTATCAGGTAGTTCTAAGTGCTTTACAAGAATTCTTTTAATGATTTCCTGAAAAGTAACCTAGCAAGTAAGTGGCAGAGTCAGAGTTCAAACCTGGGTCTATCTAAATTCACAACCCAGACTCTGGACCTCCATGCTAAGTTTACCTTACTCATTTGGTACAAAAGTAGAAATTCTCTTACTGAATGCTAGATTAGGCGCTTTAGGAAAATAGCTGGGTGGAAAACCAAAAATGGAAGAAACTCTACCTGTAAACGTAATATTTTAAAATCAATTTGGAGAAGATGTTCTTAATGGAAGAGCAACTGCTGAGCATTTGAGTCCCTTCCCTCAGGCTTCACATCTCTGTTGGAGGCCATGTTGGTTATGCCCAAGGGTCAGACTATGCCACTGTAGTAGTTTTACAATTATAGGTATCCTGGTTTTCAGGCCCTTGAAGATAGGCAGTGATACCTAATGTGTCAGGGACAGAAATGGGGACATATAATGTAAGCATGTGTTTGACTTTTGCAGGCCTAAGAGTGGAAGGAAGTCAGGATCCTCCTCTTCCTCAGGAACTCCTGCATCTCAGCTTTATCCCCAGTCTCGGGGGCTGGTTCCAAAGTAAAGCAAGATCCTCCTCTCCCAGGGCGTGAACAGCATCTGCCTTCCAAGAGAAGAGATGAGCAAAAGACTGCAGAGGGGACTTGAGCCCAGACTCAGAACTGTTCCACTGAGGAGAAGCCATGGCCTCTTTGCAGATTCACCACCTGAATCTGGTCGAATGTGCTGGTCCCAGTATGGCATTCCGCCCCTCTGGGAAACGCCTTTTAATTAGCATCTCAGCAATGTATGGGTAAGGTAAAGTGCGCTAGTCCAAGTGGAAAGCAAGAGAATGACCAGTGACCTTGCTTCTCCTCCTGTTCCCCTGCCCTCCCTTCCTCTCCCCTCTCCTTTTCTAGCCTGTTCTTCATGCTGGGCTCCCTTTCTGTTGAACAGTACGGAAGAATCAGAAGTCACCTTAGCAGGAAAACATCTTTTGGAGCCTCGGGATAAAATGACAGTGAGGTTGAAACATAAATATCCCAGAACTTGGGTAGGTGCCTGTTCTTGTAGGCAGAAATGAGAAGTCTCATTTGGATCCAAACCCAGGTAGGCACCATCAGTGATCTTACCTCTGTGTCCCACCATGAGAAGTGGATCTGCCTTTGGGAGCTACTCAGTGAGGAACTCTCTCCCAGTTTCTGCTTCTGAGGGAGTCAATGTTGGAAGCAATAGAAGTAACATTCCTGTTGCCTCTTTGGAGCGTTTAGGGAAGCAGCTTCTTTAAAACCTCAAAACCGTGGCCATCCTGTTAAAGACCTAAATCTGGAGGCCAGTGCCATGTCCATTCACCGTGTCACTTTACTCTTCATTTCTCTCCGTCTTTTGCATGCGTGCATACTCTGCACAGGCCCGTCCTCTGCCTCCAGAGCATGCCCTGCCGTGGGCTTGCTTTGTGGGAGAAAGGAGTCTGGCTCAGCCTTCTCTGGTGGGACTGGAGTTGAGGGAAAGAGACACACAATGGCGCCTTTGAGTTTCCCATTTTGTTCCATATTGACATGGAGAGCAGAAGAGTAGCAGACAGATGCAGAGACGGAGATGTGTGAGTCAGGGCAGTGAAACGGTGAGACACAGCAGATGGAAGTGAAGGAATCCTCCTGCCTTCAGCAGAGAACGCACCAAATCCTGGAACTGTGGCTTCCTCCAGGCGGAACCTGAGACGCTGGTGAGGAGTTGCGTGATTGAACAGGCTCTGAGGAGAGTTCGGAATTCCTGTTTACATACACGAGTTTGGTTTGTAAGTTTTAGTTCCTTGTATTATTGAGATTCAGAGCTTCGTTTTTTGTTGGTCATTAGGTGGATGTTATTCATTTTCCTCTTAAGAGAAGCTCATAAGTATGTGTGGGTGTGAGAGCACAGTGGTACCTGTGTTCTGTGAGTGTGTCCATGTGTGTCTGTAAGAGAGAGAGACCAAGAACTCGCCCAGTTTTGAAATTCACGAACGTGCAGTTTTTGCCTTTTGTCTGTGTTAAAAGCCCATTGAATGACTAATCTAGGCAGACGCACTCCCATATGGGTGTCTGAGTCCATGAGCCAAGCCTGGGGGGACAATGTGAGTCCCCAGGTCTGCCACACTGGTGTACCTTGCTGGCACGGTACCTCAGAAAGGTGGCGACTCGGGTGGGCTTCGAGTTATGTGTTAACTCAGCTGCTCAGTTCCCAGGGCACACTTCTGGCTCAGAACCCTTGGGAAAGAGAAGGTACCAAGTGCAATGTCTTAGCATTCTGCAGAACGGAGGTCTGTTGTCCAGCAGCTCATTTCCTTTTTAGTGACCATTCTTTCTGAACCCAGGCCTTTTTCAGCAGTTCCCAGAGCACAATGAAGCCTACCCTCATCTTCTCTCTGGCTCTTCCCTGCATTTTTCGCATTTACTAAGCATTTGTCTGTTTGAATAGGATCCAAACAATGAGGCTGATAACCTCAGGTGGTTATCTGCTGGTTACATGTATATCCCACACCACATCTCCAAGGCTGGTCTAAATTCCATAGGCTGAAAATATTCATGCAGCAAATCTGAAAACTGAAAATTGCAGATAACACTATACCTTAATACTGATATCTTGAGGTGCTTTTCTGATTGGGGTGGTTAAGTGGCACATAGAACTTTCTAAGAAGGCAAAAGAAGAAAGACAAATTGACAGGCATGCCTTGTACTCATGTGTTCATGTAGTGGCCTGTGGAAACCAAGCAAAAGAGCACTCACTTGGGGGCAGCCCCTTCGGGTCCCCTTCCACAGTGGGAGCTTTTCTATCCTCTCAATAAGTCCTGCTTTCTCACTTAAAAAAAAAAAAAGAGCACGCACTTGGAGATGAAGCTGTCCTTTTCCAAGCAGTCTCTGGTGCTTTTCTTCTCTCAAAATGGATCTGATAAATGTTTGGATAGAACAGATGGTAGAATGTCTTGCTGCCATGAGAAAGCTGCTGCATTGGGTTCTGAGTTGAGTGAAATATATAGAAGACCCACAGAACCCACTGAGGGACCAGGTTTTCATGTCTATAGTCATGTCTAAAATATTCTGAGCCATTTAAGGACCTCAATGCCAGCAGCAGCCAGTGAAATCTGAAAGTCTTACAGTATCTAAGATAACCAGTGGGAGAAGGAGTTGAGACTGTGTGCAACCCTCATCAGACCCCTTTTTGCTCGGATCATAGAATGTATCTGACTTCATATTTTAAAGTTACGTGTCTCTCAGACCCCTGGATTCAGAACCCAAGGCTACCAATCATAGGCATGAAGCACTTTCTTAAGATTCTGACCCAATGTTGGATTGTCCCCATCTAACACCTGCATGCTGCTTGAATTGCTTCACCCACACCTCCATGACCAAGGGCGCCAGAGAGCTCTGCAGCTTCTGCATGGGCCACTTTCTGCTTTCCTTTCTGACTCTTGGAAGGCCTCCCTCACTGAATGTAGAATCATTGCCAAGTTCCTGAGAAGTGTCGATTCCCTGTTAACGTGGAATATCAGTCCTGCTTCGCATCTCTCACTTAAGGTTGAGGCATCTGCGAACAACACCTGGACCGTCTGAACCCCAGCAGTGGACTAAATGGGGCTCTTCATGTACTCTAAAAGCCATACTAAAAATGCTCAGAGGGAACTGGATAAGAACACTGGGCCTGGCTATTGTCTATCACGCAAGACTTTGTCTTGTACTATTTGGAAATCTGTCACCTTTCTGCCTACCCTCATTTCTGTAATGAAATGCTTTTGAGGTTATTTGTGAAAGGAGTGATCCTGGGGTAGTGGGCTTGATGGTTCCCTGGAGTTACTATTGATCTTGACCTTCTCTTTGGCTACCTTTAGACAAAGAATATGCCAATACTTGGGGCTCTGAGTTTTACAGTTGATATTTATTTGTATCATCTCTTTGTCTAGGAATGTAAAAGTGATTCTAAACTAAGATGTGTAATAAAAATCAATCAGATTTATTGTACCTACAAAAAGGTGTCCTCATAAATGACTAATGAATGCTTTTGAAAATGACATGCCTGTGGCTGACACACTGCCATTTTCATTAAACATGTTAATTGGGTGGGAGTGAAAAACAAAAATGGAATTGAAATGCTGGCATTTAAAAATATAGCAGCAAAGAAAAGGGATATAAAATGAAGAAAGACAGAGTGACAGATAAACACTTTTTGTGTTTTTTCCATTGAGATTTCTGAGATAAGCCTGGGCAATGGGCATGAAATTTATTTTAACTTTTGGGTTATTTTTTAATTTATTAAAATTTTGTTATTTAAATTTATTATTATATATTATACTTACTGGGTGTGGTGGCTCACGCCTATAATTCCAGCACTTTGGGAGGCTGAGGTGAGAGGATTTCCTGAGCCCACAGGTTCGAGACCAGCCTGGGCAACTTGGCAAGACCTTATCTCTACAATAAATCAAAAAATTAGCCAGGCGTGGTAGCACGTGTCTGTGTTTCCAGCTACTTGAAAGGCTGAGATGGAAGGATCATGCTCATGGCCACTGCACTCCAGCCTAGGAGACAGAGTGAAACTCTGAGTCAAAAATAAATAAATAATACTTTTTTTTTTTTTTTAAGACAAGGTCTCACTCTGTCACCTAGGCTGGAGTGCAGTGGTGCAATCATAGCTCACTGTAGCCTTAAGCTAAAGCAATCCTCCTGACTCAGCCTCCTGAATGCTGGGACTATAGCTGTGCACCACCACACTTGGCTAATTTAAAAATTTTTTTGTAGAGACAAAGTCTTGCTACTATGTTCCCCAGGATGGTCTCAAACTCCTGGGCTCAAGTGACCCTCCCGCCTTGGCCTCCCAAAGTGCTGAAATTACGGGTGTGAGCCACTGTGCCTGGCCCAAATATGTCTGTTTTTTTTTAACACAAAAAGATTTTATGTTGTTTACCACCAGGAAAAAAACACCAAATATGGGCCACACGTTGTCTTGTAGTTTCTCATGCTGTAATGAACCCTTGAGGGTTTGTGTACCCCAGTTGAGAAGTAGAACTGAAACTGGGTTTGAATTCTGGTATTGCTACCACTTACTAGCTATGTGACTATGAGGAACATAACTCTCCTGTCTGAAGCTTGAAGTCCTTGTTTATAAAATGGTGTGATTATCCCCACCTTGCAGGGCCACTGTGAACATCAGCAATACATTTAAAGCTGTAGCACAGTATGGGGACTAGAACAGACATGAAAAAATATGACGATTACTGTAAGAAGGCCCTGTGTTTAGAAGATACCATGAACAATTTGTATCTTGAGAAACTAGAAGCCAGAATTGGGCTTACCATCCTCAGAAGATCCTAAAGAAAAGCCACTAATCATTTAGTATGGTATACATTGAGCACTACTATGTGCCAAACCGTTTAGGCACTAGATATATATGGATGTAACACTAACATGGTTCCTGCCCACGTGGAGCTTGCACTTCAGTGAGGAGGGAGGAGGGGTAAATGCTAGCCAAATGCACATGGATATGTAATTGTGGATTGTGACAAAATGCTGTGAAATGTTAGAAGAGTGCAGGACCAATTTAGCAGGAATGGGTAGAGAAGGAAACGGCTTTGGAGGAAATGGCATTGACAATAATTATCTAGACTGCAGGAGTTAGTGGGGTGAGAGAGAAGGGAAGGGCACTGGTGAGGAGATGGAGGAAGCATCTAATTTGAAGGCCTTGAAGGACAAGTAGAATTTTACGAGAGAGTATCTGCAGTCCCTTCTTACCCTCGCTAGAGGGAAGCATGGAGAACTACTGTAGGAAGATTATAGTTTAGGATTGTAAAAATACCCATAGGAAATCTATTTTATTTATGTTACGTTATGTTATTTTTTGAGTTGGAGCCTCACTCTGTCATCCAGACTGGAGTGCAGTGGCCACCGCAGACTCAGCCTACTGGGCTTAGGTGATCCTTCCACCTCAGCCTTCCAAGTAGCTGGGACTGCAGGCATGCACCACCATGCTCAACTAATTTTTTGATTTATTGTAGAGATGAGGTCTCACCAAGTTGCCCAGGCTGGTCAAGAACCCATGGGCTCAGGTAATCCTTTCACCTCGGCCTCCCAAAATGCTGGGATTATAGGCATGAGCCACCATACCCAGCCTTATTTATTTTTATTTTTTATTTTTTTGAGTTGAAGGTTCACTCCGTCGCCCAGGCCAGAGTACAGTGGCACGCTCACAGTCACTCCAGCGTTGACCTGCTGGGCTCCAGCGATCCTTCCACCTCAGCCTTCCAAGTAGCTGGAACTACAGACATGTACTACCATGCTCGGCTAGTTTTTGTATTTATTGTAGAGATGAGGTCTCACCAAGTTGCCCGGGCTGGTCTCAAACCCACAGGCTCAGGCAATCCACTCACTCACCTCAGCCTCCCAAAGTGCAGGGATTATAGGTGTGAGCCACCATGCCTGTCCCCAGCTAATTTTTTAATTTTTACTTTTGTAGAGACAAGGCTTCACTATGCTGTCCAGGCTGGTCTTGAACTCCTGGGCTCAGACAATCTGCCTGCCTCAGCCTCTCAAAATACTGGGATTGCAGGCATGAACCACTGCACACGACCCAGAAACTTAAAGAGCACAAAGAGGACAATAGCCGGTGTGACTTTGGCAACCTTTATAATTGTGTTTCTTCATAAGATGTTTTCAAACTATATGTAATGCCTTTTATCCCCACTTCTACAAAGTATCCAAAAACCATAGCTTGGTTTAGCCTAAATAATTACAAGAATGGTTCGGAATCCCTTACCTAGTAGGCAAAAGTTCAAAGTGTGATTTGAAGAATTGTGAGTGTGTTCTTGGAAATGATGGAATTCTGGGTTGGGCCAGGAGCTAATTCTTCAGGGGTAAACAGGACAGGGCACCTGGGCAACTTGGAAACTCCCACCAACTCAGTTGTGTTTTCATCTCCTGGACTCTTTTTTTAAAATCAAGAGCTCCTAAATATGAGAAACTGTATTGTGAATTTCAAACTGGTATGTTAAGTCTTGAGGCTCATGATTTTGGCTGGCCGGCTTATACTGGAGTTGCCATCTGATTGAAGTTTACCCTGAGAATCTGGTCTCCAGGAACCAGTGGTAGTCACATCTGCCAACTGTGTTGTAGTGGCATTTGTCAAGGATGTAACTGTAGCTCTATCAGCTACTCTTGTTTCATCCTCAGTTTCTGTCACTAATCTTGTGTTTAACTGTCCCAGGTGCTTCTGTTAGGCGAACTAGCTTGGGATTTGCTGTTGGGGACGGTGGTTCCCACACCTCTGGGGCAGCACAGCCCCACAGGTCTGGTTGATCACCTGCTGTGCATCAAGTGTCTTGCTCTGCACTGGTCATAGGAAGAGGAGTGAGATGTATCATGGCACTTCTGAGGAGAGAGGAGCCAGGAACACAAAGGGACAGCTTGGTGCCGTGGGAAGGCCCACTTCCTCTCCTTGCCCCACCCTCCTGGCCCACCAAAGCTGCGGTCATACCGGCCTCCATTTGGTTCCTGCATTATGCCAAGTGCTTTCATGCATGCCACCTTCCCACCTGCACACATCCTGTGCCCTCTGCCTGGAAAGTTGTTCTCCTATTCTTTGCTTGACTGACTCTAACTCATCCATCAGGAACTAGTTGAACGTGGCTTCCTCAGGGAAGCCTTCCTGGCCACCCATTTTGGCTTTCCCCCATCTTTACCTGGCAGTGTGGTACCTTGCCTCCTTAGCTCTTTCCAGTTTGCCAGGATGTATTTCTTGGCTTTGGTCTTCCCCACTAGACAGTAAGTTCCCTGAGGGCATGTTCTTCCCTAGGCTTGACAGATGCGTTAGATGACTGCATATGTGCTGAAATAGCTCAGACCACAGTGTTGTCAGAGAAAGGAGCTGGGATGACAGGAGAGGGAGAGGACGGCTTGCACAGGCAGGAGGCAACGAAGGAGGAGTTAGTTGGCTTCCACCACTTGGGAAAGAGAGAAGGGTGTGCCAGACAAGGGGACACGTGACGCAGCGCGTGGGGAGGTTCTGGTGACTGTGGAGCCTGAGAGGCCTGGAGTGATGGAGATGGAGAACAGGGCTGGCAAGGGTCTTGCCCTGTGACTCGTCCTGTAGGTGGAGGAGAGTCCTTGAGGCTTGCATGTGTTGGTGAGGATGGGGGGGGTGAAGCATGGCCCTGTTTACACCTCAGCATTTTCTCCTGAAGCCAGCCTGGCGGGCTATTATTTCTCTTTGAGAGAACAGAAAGCAATTTCATTAAGTGCCTGCTTTAAGTTTGCCTGCTGTTCACACAGCTTTCTGGTCCTTGTTGTCCAGAAATTCCATTCTGCCTGGAGCTTTCCCTGGCACACCTTACTACCCAAAGAACTCCAAGGAATACTTGAACTTGACTCCAAGATCTCAGTCCCCTAGAAAAGGGGCCAAGGCATTTTTCAGGACTGTGGGCTGGAAGGTGGGCCCTTTTGCTGCACTTGGGAACAGAGAAGTTAAACTTCTGCCAGTGGTGTTGAAATCATCTTCCTATTCAGTCAACAAGAGATTCACATTGCTGTTCAAGATGCTGTGTCATGGACTGGCTACAAGCCGTGGACCCTGCCCTTCTGGAGCTTCTAGTCTGGTAGGATATTATGGCTGTTCAAGGTGGGCTGTGGCATAGATATGGCACAGAGAGGGGTCACTGATTTTGGCAAGGTACATGTTAAATGCGGTGATCAGCCTGTTTGCTTGATTATTCCAGGGACAGTGAGGAGCCAGGGCTTTGTCATCAGATTCATTTATTCATTTTTTTTTGAGTTGGAGTCTCACTCTGTCGCCTAGACTGCAGTGCAGTGGCCGCTCCAGCCACCGCAGCCTCGACCTGCTGGGCTCTGGTGATCCTTGTGCCTCAGCCTTTCAAGTAGCTGGAACTACAGGCGTGTGCTACCATACCCGGCTAATTTTTTTTTATTTATTTATTGTAGAGATGAGGTCTCGCCAAGTTCCCCAGGCGGGTCTTGAACCCGCGAGCT